AAAGCAAATCTGCTTTTCCCCTGAGTCGCAAGAACAAGGGCAGTGGATCCATAGATGGTTGATGTTTTCCTTTCCCTTCCATTGCCACTTGCTCTCCCTCACCTCCCTACTTCCCTTGCACATACCTCCTGCTGAGCCTGTTTGGTGTCGTGGAGCCTGTGGGAAGCACGGTGGCACGAGGAACGGGTGTCCCAGGGCAACAGTTGGTCTTTGAGGATGAGGTGACCCATCTCCTGCGCTGGGACAGGGACTGCTCTTTTCACTGCCCAGCCCCTGCAGATGTTGGAGGTGCTCCAGGAGAGCCAGCACTCCCCGGGTGACACCCCTCTGCTCCGGGGCACAGGCTGGCAGACACAGCGAGGGGCTGGCCAGCAGGTGGGGATCGGCTGAGCGCATCCGGGCTGGAGGAGACAGTTCCCTCTCTCTCCAGCTGCTGTGTTAGATTTACCGGTACCAAGTGAGAAGAGCCCATTTGCTGGCCCTGCCTCCAGCCCAGCCACTGTCAGAGCAGCTCTCCTTTGTCCTGCCCCAGCTGGCTCTGCAGTGTTCCCTGGCAGATTGCCCCTTACCTGGCAGTGCCCTCTGCTCCTTTACGTGCAGAAACATTGAGTCATCCTGCCCCAGTGAATGTGCAGGGCAGAGCAGGGCAGGATGCAGTGACTGAGGGCAGGGTGCCCGTCCACCACACTGCAGCTCTCCCTGAGTGCAGACACAGTTGTGACCGTGGCAAAGCTGGGGCTGTGCTCAGCCTGCACACCCTGATGCTTAGGGCTGTGGCAGCTCTTGCTGCCCATCTGTCACGGTGCTGATTCTCCTCTCAGAACCACTGCAAGACAAGGGAAAGATGTCCTGGTCCTGCCCAGCAACATGTGTTCCCTTCAGCTAGTCTGGATCTAGGGGAAAAACAAAACAAAACCAAGAAAGCTCTGTTTTGTTTATACTTGTTCCTTTTATTTACTGAGTAACACAATAAAGCAATGAGATTCGATTATCAAAATATTTTCTTTTTTTTTCTTTTTTTTTTTTTCCCAACAGTTTATAGTACATCAAAAAAATATACAATGAACATTACAGGAGGGGTACTGGCCAAGTCCCTAGAGTCTGTTTATTCCATTTTTTGGGGGGGATGTGGGGGTTTTTTGTTTGTTTTTTTTCTTGAATCAAACTGTTCACATCACTCCAAGGTTATTTACAGAGGGGCACACGTTACTGAGCGCTATGGACTATGCCCTACTACCTAGTGCAGCGTGCGCTAATCAGAGGCAGTAAATGCTTTGGGGAGTGGGGGGCTCCGGGGTGGGGGGATGCGATAGAGGGAGCGTGTTCTCACGCAGCTCGTTGCAGTATTATTGTTCTTAGAAGGAATGGCTTTCAAGGGGTTAAAGTGCCAAGTGTAGGAGTGTATCAGGACTCCACGGGTGGGGGGGTGAGGGGAGCAGCCGCTGGCT